ACCAGATGAAGAAAATAAATCCTAAGTAGGTGGCCCTTTAAAATGTGAAGGCTGTGGAACTGCCATCTGATGCTGTGGATGCAAAGCTCTCCTAATTTTAGAATAGGATTGGACAGGTTCAGTGGAGGTTGTTAAATGCTTTAAATGTCTCATAAAATTTCTGAGATGTGAATTGTCAGAAGTTGGAAGAATGTTTGGACAGAACTGCTGCTCTGTGCCTGCCTTGCTCGTGCAGCCTGTCCCTGCTGGGCTCTGAATCCTCTGCAATGTGCAGGTTCCACACTAAATTGCAGTGCAGTCTCTCAGTTCAGACAGAATTTTTCAAGATTATCTTTCAGTTTGTGGTGTTTCTGCTGCTGAATTACTGCCATTTTCCTCTCTCCCTGTGCAGAATCTCATCAATGAGGGGTTTGCTGTTGCTCAGCTTGTAAACCAGCTGCATGACACCATTGTGGAGAGTGAGGATTACAGCGACAAGCAGAAATCTGCCATAGTTGAGAAACTTGCAGTAAGTCTAACTTGAGTTAAAAAAAACAAAACTCATTAATCTCTACAGATTGATTTTTGTTTGCACAGTCTCTCCCAAGAACCACATGGTGATTTTTCTTGTTCTGAATATTTCTTGTTAGAATGTAAACTTCTGTCCTGAGAAATTTCACAAGAAGGAGTTGAAACCTAATTAAGTGAATTTTTATCCATATTATGTTATTCTAGTGAATTCGATCAAGAGGTTTGTGGGTTTGATTGTTTTGGGTTTTTTAATATAACATGGAAGGGAAAATTAAGATGAGAATAAGTCAGACAAGTCAGCACTTAAAAAAATACTTAGCAGATGCAAAATGCAAGGTTTTGTTCTGGTAAATAAAATATGCCTTTCCAAAAAAGAGAAGATTCATTAACTTGCTCCACTTTTGATGAAAAAGGAAAGGCAGCTGTGGTGGAGGTTTTGCCTGAGTGACTGCAGCCAGGCAGGTGCTGTGGATGCCTGCAGTGCTGCTGCTGGCAGGGCCAGTGCCACACCCCTCTGTGGATGGAGCTTTCACTGGGGGCCTCCTCCAGGAGGTGGGATGGGGGCTGAGAGCTCAGGGCTCCCAGTCCAGCTGCAGGGGGTGTGATGTGGAGAAATCCATGCAGAGTAAGACAACAGCTGGCAAACCTCTTGTTCTCCACTGTACTCCAAGACACAGCTGCCTTGAGCATGGCCATTTTCAGAGGGTTTTCCCTTCCCTGTTCCCTCTGCAGGAAGTGGACAAATGCCTGGCAGACGGTGCTGATGAATTCCTGCAGCTGATGAGTCTCTGTGCCCTTGTGATGCAGCAGCTCACACAGAACATCTGACTCCTCCAGCACCCTTTGTTCAGGGGTGGCTGGGGCTCTCACAGCAGGGACCTGTGTACTTTTGTACTTTTTTGGGTGGTTTTTTTGCAATAAAAGGACTGCACTGCAGTTGAAAAACCTGACGCTGGAGTATTTAATTCAATTTTTTTTACACTGGTAAAGAGCACGGGGGTGTGTAATGCTCCTAGTGTGCAGTTCCTTGTTGTGCATTTACACATGCAAGCAAATTCTCAGAAGTGAGCATATCCATACCAAAGTCTTCATCAGCTGCAAGCAGAGACACAAGGATTAGTCCTTGTAGCCTATATTGGCTGGGCAAAATGATCACATCCCTGTAGGACACAGCTTCAGGCTCAACCCAGCCCACACCTCCACCATCTTGCATCTATCTGATGATCCTTTAGGATTAAACATAGCAAAAATCACTTTACTAGCAAACATACTGCAAGTTTTATTCCATTCAAGCTCTCAAAAAAAAAGGTACAGCAAAGGGTAGGTCATGTTCTGAAGGTGTCACTTAGGATTCCTTGTCATCTCACTCTGTTCTTGCTCACAAGCCATTTTAAAGCTGTGACCTGGATGAGCATCTTTGGGAACACTTTCAGAGGTGCTGTTTTGACCACCTGTCCCTCCTTCCTGAATGACTTGGGAAAAAAAATACCCTTGGACAGGCATGAAGCATGAATGATGCAGTGCAGAGTTTCTTCATCAAGCCAGCACCAATTATTAAGCGAGCCATTTTCTACACTGATGAAGGGGTGTTTCAGTTTTAAGGACACAGGTGCAGCATGCCAGAACCACACTAGCACTTGGGAGTCCAGAACCACCCCTGCCATTAATGACAGTACAGGAGCTGTGGGCACAAGGCTGCAGCAGCTGCCACCTTCAGCTCCCACCCTGAGACAGTCCAGTCCCTGCTGTCACCCTCCCCTCAACCCAAGAAGCAATTATTTACAATTTAAGTGAATATAGAAGTATTTTATTGAACATTCAAACTTCATTAAGACATGTGCAATATGGCAAATTTTACTGGGTTTAACCCTAACTAAGACAATAGTATGATTGCTTGCTTGCTGGGGCTTAGCAACAGGGTCCAGATCACACTTACCACTAATTAAATACTTTATTGAATAAATACATATGAAACAAAAATGCATTTTAATGCTCTTATAAAAGTTTAGAGATTTTGAAAGGCCTTTCCAATTTAATCTGAGGTGTAAGTACATACAATAAAGGAAGGTAGGCTAGTTTAACATAATTGGCTGACTTTATACAGCACTTATATCTTTTAGTCCATAAGTAAATTATTAAATGATAAAGAACATCTAATACAACCACTTCTATGGAACTAGGAAATAAATTTCTAATAAAGAAAAAATTTACAGACCCCATGACTTTCCACCCAACCCCAACAGTCTAACCCTAAAGTGGACAAAGCCAATGGCCTTCCCCACAAGAGCTCACGACAGAAAGTCGCTTCTCTTATCAAAAATCTGTATTTCTGATCCGTAATGAGCATTGAGACAAGATTCAATATATCCCCAAAGAAAGAAGCACAATGCGCGTTGTGAATCGCCTATTCAGCAACAGCGAGCACTGGATTCACAACCACCTCATCCCGGGGATTAAATGAGATCAGCCACATTCATCGGCATCTCCTCCACTGTAGTATTGTAGAAAGTCTCAATGTCTCGCAGGATCCTCTTGTCCTCTTCAGTGACAAAATTGATAGCCACACCTTTTCTGCCAAAACGGCCACCCCGGCCAATTCTGCACAAAAAGAAAACACATTTACACTCCAGTTAACCTCACCCATCTGCTTTACATGTCTGCAAGATCCATTCTTGACTGCTGCTCTTATCTGCCACTGGCCAGTCTATGCTGCCACCCAAGTCACATCTGGTCAGGAAAACCAGCAGCTGGTGCCAGCAGCACAGCAGGTCCATTCCGTGGCAGGCAGCAGGGCACACATGGTTACTCGTTGGCTGCAAAGTAAGATCTTGATTTAATGCTTGGTGCTGTGTTCTGAAGTCCTGGGTCAGCCTCTCTCCCCTCTGTTCAGCTATGCACCCACCCCTCATGCATTCACTCCCAGCACAGAGCACACGCTGTTGTTTAACAATCAGACTGTTACCAAGTTAATCCAGTAACATGGAACAGCACACTTAATTTCAGAATTTAAATTCAACCTGTTTCCAGTGGGAAAACTTAGGATTTGTTGGTTTCCTTTAGAGAGTAAATCGAAGCTCAACGTTCGTGTTGAAGCCCACATCAGTCACTGACGCATCAGTGCATGCGGTTTAGTTACACCCACTGTGAGCTCCACCTTCCTACAAACTGCACAAGAGAGCACCTTGCCAGCGTGAGCTAAATTCACAGAAAGGGCTCACAAAACTTAGGGGATAATCGTGACAAAATAAATAAATAAATACCAACTCGCTCTTTATTCAAACTGTGCCGCTTACGAATCCACGTCCTAAATTACGTCAACGTCGTTTCTGAGCACCATCTTGTGTCATCAACTGCTGCTATCGACTCCTGTATTTTTTTACATCAAGTAACAAAGCACAGTTTACTTCATTTAGGGACAGTCACTAGAAGCAGTTAACTAAACCTAGGGAGACAAACTGGAATTGCTGCCAGAAGACACCACAGAGAAGAATCCCGCTAAGGAGCCACCAAGAGCAAACATGGCACACACAACATGGGCACAGCTGAACCTCCACAAGCAAAGGCAGCCCTACAAGCTGGGAGTAAGTAAGGTCTGTCTTGTCACTGAGCAGCAGCAACTCCAGATCAGCCAGAACCCAGACCAAGCTGACCCTGCTGTCAAGATGCTGCACCACTAACAGTGTCACACTAATATGTCACAGCCTACATGATAAGAGGCACATCAGTTGCTGGTATTTTCCCCATAACTCCAAGGTTCATCACTGAACCTGTTACACATCTAAGTTTTCCCACTGCTTGAAGTGTTCAAAAGTTCTGCTCCTCCCTGTTTCAGAACCACTGCTGTGCAAGGCAGGGCTTTTAGAAAGCTAATCAAGTGGCTGCATTCCCTGCTAGCTCTGAGAAGTCCATGCATGGATGCTAACAGCTCTGGTTTGGTGAGGAGAGTGTGTGCCAGTGCCCATCCAGCCCAGCACAGGGACTGACAGGGGGCAGAGCCAACTGACCTGTGAATGTAATTCTCACGATTGGTCGGCAGGTCGTAATTGATAACCAGGGACACTTGCTGCACATCAATGCCACGAGCCTGCAAAGCAACACCAAGTCTTTAATGTACGTTAAGGGCTATTTTCAAACTTATCCATCTCAGGCTTTTGTCAACCACATCATTAGTTATGAACTACAACTGTGTAGTCCATAGTGGAGCATGGTCTTTGCTGTTCCAAAAAGCTCCCAGCAGTTCAGGTTACAAAAACCATCACTCAATTATGAAGCTTTTGGGACAAGGCTGTAACAGAACATATTCAATGAAAGACAGTGCTCACCAGCAAGTCAGTAGTGATCAGGACACGGCTGGACCCTGATCTGAACTCTCTCATGATAACATCCCGTTCCTTCTGGTCCATGTCACCATGCTGGGGAATTAAAACAAAAAGCTGCAATTAGTACAGTTTCAATGCTCCAAACCAGAATATTCTTCAAAGAACAAAGGCATGTATGAATCCCAGCGTCCCTACCTGCTGTGGGAACGAAGCAGGTAGGGATAGAAAGGAAACACTTTACTTTAAGCAGGGGGAACGATAATACAGCACTGCACAGCTATATTATAACTTTCCTGCTTCTCACTGATATCCCCTCCTCACCAGTTCTTCTCCAGTAAATACACAGCATTTCAGAAGTGATTTGAAGTAGCAATTCTTACCAGAGCTGAGACTGTGAAGTCCCTGGCATGCATTTTCTCCGTAAGCCAGTCTACTTTTCTCCTTGTATTCAGGAAAATAACAGCCTGTGTAATGGTCAGTGTCTCATACAAATCACAGAGAGTATCCAGCTTCCATTCCTGAGCAGAACAAAGATCATCAGGAAACATGACACAGGTTCAGTACATAACACAACTTGAAGCAAGCAACAGAACTCCAATACAACAATCAATTAAGCCTGCTTTGGCACACAACTACATTCAACCAAGTTTTTGTGTCAATTGTTGCACCAAATCTTCAGACACAGGACACTGGACATTAAGAAAGAGGTCCACCCTAGTCCTTTTGGATCTAGTGCATAGTTTTTCTTCTTCTTGCATTTACTCTACTAGCATTATTGCAGAAACTAAAGCTCAGCCTTGGTTTCCGCAATTTTAGCACAGTGCTTTAACAAGAAGGTAAGAGAACCCAACTCCTCCTGCCACAGCGAGTATAACCAGTACCAACCTCTCTCTCAACGTTAATGTAGAACTGCTTGATACCCTCCAAAGTCAGTTCTTCCTTCTTCACCAAAATACGGATGGGATCTCTCATGAACTTTTTGGTCACTTCCAACACATCCATTGGCATTGTAGCTGACAGCAGCACAACCTAAAATACATTACTCTATGTTAGCACATACCCCGCAGTTAGCATTTGTGCAATTCAATTCTCAGCCACACCACAAGAAAAGCTGCATGCATCACTTCACCACGTCAAAGCTTTTTTACCTGGATGTTTGTGCTTAGTTTTTGAAAGATCTCATAAATTTGATCCTTAAATCCACGGCTCAACATTTCATCAGCTTCATCCAGAACAAACATTTTGATCCATTTTGGTGCTGTTGGAAAAAGAGATGCATCCCATGAAGTTTCACAAATACACAATCCTTAAAGAGCATCATGCTTCTGTACTACTAAACTTTTAGCACAACTCAAGTACACTAAAGCTCTTAGTGGCTATGAGGCTTTCACTGAAGATTGATCAGCAAGGGCACAATGAGGTTCATACTCACACAGATAGCGCCTGTTCAACATATCAAACACACGCCCTGGAGTTCCCACCACGATGTGAGGAGCCTCAGCCTGCAGCTTCTGCATCTCATTGCGCACATTTGTGCCACCAATGCAAGCATGGCATGTTGCTCCCATGTAGTCTCCAAGGGCCAGGATTACCTTCTGAATCTAAAATAGAACCTTCCATTAGCAGCTTGTAGGACAATAAAGCTTAAGCCCCATTATCACTGGCTTTTATGGACTTTGGAAGCCAAGACACCAAATAAGGACTATGGAGCTCTTGGAACTGAGAGCTGCTAAAAAAACCTGCCCAACTCGACATAACTCAAGTTGCTAACTAGAAGCCAGAGGAACAGTTAAGTTACCTTTTTTTTTAACTGGCTGAACTTGCTGATTGAGTGACTGCCATGAGACAATTACTAAGCTGAGAGCAGGGCCACCAGAAGTGAGCTCAAGCTCTCAGGTGGTGCTCAGGCCTGCATGTAAAGCACTTGGACACTCTTCAGTGAACTCTCTCCAATGGCACCACTACCAGCCAGATTTCAAAACAAATCTCACCTCAACAGCTTTAGAGTAGAACAAAGGCTTAACAAAGGCCCTTATTCCATTTATTTTGTTTTCTGTCTGATTTAGTATGTTTAGCTTTACCTTGCAGAATTGTGACATTGCACTGGCATTTCAGTACTGTATAGTTGAAAATGACAGTAAGTTTTCAACTTCAGAGTTGGTTCAACATCGTACTTCAAGACCCTTCATTACTGACAGTTAATCTAAATATTCAAGTATTCTGAAAGTTATTATCACACACCCACTTAGCGTAACAGAACACCAAGCCTTGAAGGTGGAAGACATGCAATTATATTGTCAGGAAAACATACAAAGCAACAAAACCATTTAAGTAACCAAATGTGCACTGCAGTTTTCATGTTGCACAACTGCATTGAAGTTTAAACAGCTTCCCATCAAGTGTATTTTTTATTTCCACTCAGAACACTGTGCTTTAGTAATTGTGTTTTTCTGCTGAAGATGCTCCCTCCACTTAACACACAGCACAGCAGCTGCCTCCTGCACCCCTGCCCCAGCACACCCTCCATGTTTATCAACTCAGCTCTTCAAGGAGGCAGAAGACTTGTGGGACAGAAGGCTGTTTGAATCCCCCATTATTGGGCACAAAAAGGGTTCTGAATGGATATTCATTGCAGCCCCTCAAGAAGTCGGGTAATGTTGTCTCACAGTTGTGAAACCTGAAACCTATGCAACACACAAAGTTTTTTTGTTTGTTTTTTAAACTACACTATCAATACCTGTTGAGCCAGTTCTCTGGTAGGGGCCAATACTAGTGCCTGGGACTCCTTGAGATCAATCTCCAACTGCTGCAGGATGGAAATAGCAAATGTGGCTGTCTTGCCAGTACCTGACTGAGCTTGAGCAATCACATCATACCCTAAAAAAAGTAGGATACACATTTACTGCTCCCACACGGGTCAATCACATTAGTTTTACTTAATTCCCCTTGAAGTAAGTGATCAGTACTAAAGAGGTCTCTCCATTTCAGGTCAGTCCCGAAAGATGGTGTACCATCATATCACTTGTTCAATGAAGATTGAAATTAGTTATTACTGCACACTAATGAAACAATGTATGCATTTCACAATGCTTTCTTAATTATCTGATGCTGATATTAATGAATCTACTGCATACCTTTGATGCATGGAATAATAGCTCTCTGCTGAATAGCTGAAGGCTTCTCAAAACCATACGCATAAATGCCCCTTAGAAGGGATTCTTTTAAATTCATATCATCGAAATTGTCAACAATCTCATTCCAATTGCTCTGTAATAAAGAATTAAAAAAAAAAAATAAATCCAATACCCCTGTCCACCAGCGATTAAATTCTCAGGTCACTTCGTAAGTGCTCACCTCGATGACACCATCGGGCTCCATTCCCTCTGGGCCGCCATGGTCTCTGCCATTAAAGAAAACACGTTGTTAGCACAAGAGCCACAACCACCAAACAGCGAGCTGACGTGTCGGCTAAGACAGCGGCGGGAGCCGTGACAGATCATTCCAGCAGGTGCTCTGAGCTGCTGCCAATGGCCAGACTCGTGCCCCCGTTCCGCAGTGTCCCGAAGCCGGTGCCCACCTTCCGGGGCCGCGGCCATGGGCGCACCGAGCGCGCGCTCCCGCGACGGCGCGGGGGGGAAGGGGGGGCGGGCGCGCTCCCGGCGCTGCAGCGGATCCCCCCGCCCCGCCCCGCCGGGAACTCTCGCGAGAGCTCCACCCCTGGGATTGCGCAAACCGGGCGCTGCGGGCGGACGGCGCCGGGCGATCGCCCGGGGGGGGCCTCCCCCTCCCCCCGCCAAAAAAAATATAATGGTCTCGCGCTCAGCGCGGCCCGAAAACCCGGGGCGAAGCAATGGCGAGAGGGAAAATAGAATGTCGAGGAAAAAAGAAATCCACGGAAAGACATTTAAATATTAAAACTACAACACAGCCGTACACGAAATAATTTCGAAAAAGTCCTTTCTAGGGCTGACTTGATTGCTAAGAAAGCCAGTAACGAAAATCGAGCCCCGAGGACTAGAGCTAAAACCGTTTGTGAACCGCGAGCAAGGGGAGCGCAGGGACAGAAACGTCTAGAACGGGAGGGGCCAGGGCGCAGGGCTGATTGAGCACAGCGCCCTGCCTCCCCCAGGGCCCCCCGGCTCCCACCCCCTCCACCCTCTTTCGACTTTTTCCTCTCTCCCTGGCCGCCCCCGCATAACCCGCGAAGCCCTCGAACCTGGAAAGAGCCCAGGCCCTCGCCATACCTGCTATAATCCGCGGAGCCCCCTGACATGTTCCGATCACCAGCTCTGTCCTCAACTGAAAAGGCAAGCCCTCCGCGGCGCCCGCCTTATATACCCGCCCTGCTGCCGGACTCGTTGCGCTCTGCTCTGCGCATGGATATTCACCTTACACCACGCGCAAAAAAGCAAGAATCCCTCCAGTTTAAGCCCTGTATCCCAAGAGATTCCCGTCACGCGACTTTTTCAGTTAATCCAAAGTTGTGTATGAACCTCTGGGGTCTAAGAGGCTACTTGGAACATAGAACTACTTTTTCTGTCGGATCGCGGAAGGATATTGCACCATTGAGTGCGTCACAGCGCCCCACTCCTTCCTCCCTCTGCCTCCCCTTCCCCCCCGCGTGCACGGGGTTTCCCGTCCGGTCCCTGCTGCAGCGCTGGGCGGGAGGGGGAATGGCGGCGCTGCTTGGCCGGGCTGAGGGCACGGCGAGCGGGCCCCTTTTCCTGGTCGCATTTTGCCCATCGTGTTGGTTGTTTTTAAAGTCCTGGAGTCGGCGGGGGGGTGACAGGAGAGAGAAAGAGGCTTCCTCAGGCGGGGGCTGGCGGTCGCGCATCCGCCCCATCCTCACACAGAAATGGCTCCCGCCTCCTCCTCCTCTCTGGCAGGCGGAACACACCCCGAGCTCTCCCCCTACGCTCCCGCAGCCGGGGCAGCGCTGCTCCTGAGGGGGCAGCGTTGGGAGCTCCCGGAGAGGCCCCGGGGCAGGGGGGCGATGGAGGCGCCTCTGAGGGCTCCCCGGCCCCGGCTCACACCCAGTGCAGGCCCGCGGCCCGGGGCTGCATCCCCAGGCTTATCCCTGGCGCTGAGGGTGGATCATTCCTGAAGGGGATGCGGGAGTGTTTGTAGGACGCAGGTTAGGTGGTCCTCGGCGTGCTGCCGAAAGCACGGTGCTGTGATGTGCTGCAGATTGCAGTACACGAAAAAACCTGGCAAGAATGATTTAAAGGTTAGTGCAGTCCAAAATAAAGCACTAAGAGAACTGTTACTGTGCAAACCGATTGCATGATCATGCCCAATGCTTTCTACTGTGGCAGAAAAAATATCGATCATTTTAATGGTCGTATCAGCTTTCACAATAATCTAATCTATTAATCAGTATTTCTTATGGTGGCAAGTAATATCAATTATAAGTGATAATTTTGTGCCACCTTTGTATGGTTTATGTGTATCACTTTGCAGTCTGTTTCCATAGTGATTATATATGAAGAAATGGAGGCAGTGCTTGAAAAACTCAACCCTTTATTTGTCTAGAATATTGTAAATTGTCCGGAACCATCTAGAATATCCAAAAAGGGAACCTCTCAAAGACTGTGTATACCTTAAATCTTCCCATGGTAGCATCTGCTGGGGCAATATTATCTGTAGAAATATTACAACCTACCACTATCCCAGCAAAATTATATAAATGCAGCTCCACTGTCAGCCTATCCTAATGCTCTCAAGTTCTTTCTGTCCACCCCTGCTGGGTAGAAAATATTGAGGATATTTCTTGTTTGCAGTTCAGCTAGACACACAACAATAGCTAGAGGCCTTTTAAATGAATGATGCCAGTTTGTGTGGACTATTAACCTCTGGTTGAAAAACAAACAGGATGGACTGAAGAAAGAATGTGAACACAGTTTTGGGCTAGCACAGTTGGATTTCCCACTGCATTAAAAGTGATTTGAGTCTAAATGGAGAAATAACACTACTGAATATTTGTTAAGGATCTTGACTATTTATCAGGAAAATTGTTGAATTTAGATGACTATTTTTATTCAAGCACTGCATATAAGTCTTAGTAGATTTGCAAATCTGAGAGGAGAAGATTTCCAGACATGTGGGAATTTCAGGAAGGTAAGCCATCATTCTTCCCAGACCTGGAATGGCATCTCAGAAACAAGTATCTGCTTTATCTTTTCCAATAAAGAAATCAGTGTCATTTCAGATTACCCAGGTATTCAGATCACTTTGAGTGCTCAGATTTGATTACAGTTGTCTAGTAACAAGACTTTCCTGGCATTCTTGCAGGAGAAATTGTTCTCATTGCTCTACTAAAAAAAAAAAACTCGAAATTTAAAAAAAATTATTATCTTCAATCAAGAAGGACAATTTTACAAGTTGGTATTGTAATTTATTGGCTAAAATAGTGGGAGGTCTCTTGAGTAAATGCCAAGATTTCTTGGCATGAGGCAACTACAGAGCCAAACATGTCCCCCTGAGCTCCTGATCACTGGCCTTTATCGAGGAGCTTAAAATATCCCTGTGTCTGAGGATTTTGTTCATTTCTGATTCACCTGATGCTTAAATTCAAAGTAAAGCTTGTGAGCAGTCTGGTTTCTGCTGTCACGTGGTGGTGGCAGAGTTTGGCAGAATTTGATCAATGATTTGGTGGTGTTATTTGCTCTGGTTCATGGCTGTTTTAATGCAGTGACACTCCTCAGTCCAGTGGCCCCTTGGCAGATGCTCTTTTTGCTTCATGTGTGTATGACTGGAGCAATGAAATTATGATTTAAGAAACAAATCATCAGTTCCCATGGGAAAGGCATTTATTATATGGATGTTGCACATCCATATGGTGTATTAAGGTATATGAGAAAAGGACCCCAGTGTTTCCTCCAGTGGAAATCATCAACTTCTTTCACCAAATGAAAAGATGAAAAAAATGTTGTTTCATAAACTTCAAGCAAACAGTTGGAAACACAGAATCAGTCTTGTCTTTTTATGAAACAAGATATCCAGGCTTTTTGTATTAGCAATGACCCCTAACTGCACTAGAGAAAAAATCCTACATTTTATACCCTTTAAAAGCTCTGTACAATGTTTGAGAAATATCTCTTTGATTACACTAGTGCTAACAGTCTTTTCATGTGTGTTCCTATCTACTTTGTGTATTTTTGTGCCAGTGTTAGCCATACTGTGCCTGGAATTATTTGTGTTCTGAACAGGAAGCATCAAACTGAGAGGTGCCAAAAGGTCAGATTTTGTCACTGACAAAAATCTTGTCATGCCACTGGGATTTCTAGTGGTCCCCTGGCTTTAAATCTGATTAAGCTTTTTAGAGAAGCCTCAGCTGAAAACTTGCTCCCCAAGGACCAGGTTCATGTTATCTTCAGGCAGAAGGGAAACCAAGAAGACACTAAATGATATGTCTGGGCTGCTAAAGATGGGATCCACAACCACACACATATATATGTACACCTAATATACTTCTGTAGATGTTTCCCAAAAAGACAATCCCAGTGAATCATGGCTCTTTAGTGAGAGTGAAGATAACAATCCATTTATTAGCAGGGGTAACAGATGGACTGGCTGGTTTAGCAGCTGGGTTTCCAGTGATTATTCATGCAGACCGAAGGAAAGTGACATAGTTAAAGACAGCAGTAGGAGCTGACACCTCCTGAAACTGAGCTCCAGTTGAGCAATCCCTGCTCACCAATATCCTGCTAAAGGCAGTGGTACCATTTGCATTAGGAAATCTCAGAAATATCCTTTTAATAATCTCATGGCATGATTTGAATTTGCCATGGAACTGCCAGGTAGTTCATAGGAAGCCTGCAAGATCCCAGAATTTTTTTCCTGCATTTTTAAGTCTGGTGCCAGGGTTCAGGCTGTGTTTTATTTGATTGCCATGACTGGCAGGGCAAGGAAAGTGATGGTAAACAGACAGAGTTTGCTCACAGTAGGTCATGTTAAGGATCAGGATGGTTTGTTAGGGTGTTGTTGGCAAGAAGTGATATTTTCAGTTCACCAGTCCCAAAGGA